TGAATATACTTTGTTTCTGGAATGTCCAGGCCTGATAGTACTTTTAGCATCTGTAGCACTAAGTATCTTCATTTATTAATTTTAAATTGATATAGTGACAGAATTTACAAAAACTATATGTAGGTCTTTTGGATGAAAAACTGGGTTTTCAGCTCTTTTTTTCCGGAGGCTCGGTAGGTCTTCTGGTTTGTGATAGGTTCCCTGGGTGACTCAATGATACAGACAAGAGCAGTAATAGCAGCCACGCTCCTGTGCCATGCATTTGCTGTGTTTTCTGCTAACTGTATTCCTCTACCCACTCAGTTTTCTAGTGTCTCAGGCAATACTGCTTGGCAGTATTACTTATCTCTAGCAAATTGTTATTATTAAGAAGGGAAGTTGTGATCATTAAGGTCAATCTCCAGTAGGCAAGTATAAAACTTCACAGATTGTCCTTTTCCCAGCATACAGTTGAGTGAGCCATAAAAAGAAATTAAAAATTAGGGTTAACAAATGTGGAAGAATCGTAGCATATGATACTCCTTAATCGCCCTGGCCCAAATCTGAAAGGAGATTTTCAAGGAAAAGTAAGTGAATCAAGGGAAGGCAAAGAATCTTTGAAGTACAGGAAATGTTACCGCCTATGAAATGATTTGTAAATCAGCATCAAATGATACTGAACAAATGTGCTCCTGTACTACTCGTCTAACTTTTCAATGTATGCCTAAATGCTTTGACTGCCCATAGATGTTAAATCATGGCCTAATAGTGAAGAAAACCTCAAAAACTAAAAAGTATGTAGTTAACATCACTAAATTGTTTTCATGGTGGTTTCTTATTAAAGATGAAAATCTAGAGAAGGTTTTATAAAATCTGGAACAGATTTCCTGTAGTGAGGACAAACTTAATTAGAGTTTCATGGGCTGTCTTGAGATCAATAGCTCTCATATTTAGGATCACTCAAATGAAGGGACTGTATTTGTTGATACAATAGATCTCCTTTAGCCCTGTCATCCTAAACAATATACTTTTTAACAGTAAACTTACCCATTATGGTATTTATTTGAATTCTATGGAGAACAGTCTGCAGGTGATTAGCACACCCACATTGTTATCTGAAGGAAAATCGGTGGGGAGAAAGGATACCATAGAGAATTATTCTTTAGAGACATCTGGTGGCACCTGAAATGAAGTGAAGAATGCTGCTTTATTCTGGAGAATATCTGCACAGCTGAAATTAGGCATCTACTCAAGTGCTCTGTCCCTCTGCAGGTACCTACATCTCTCATCTCATTACATAGGGAGTTAAGACTCCTAAGTAGAGGTGCTCAGACCTCATCTGTTGGCTTTAGCGTTGGTAACTGCTTCCCAGTATCCAACTCGTCTCTCTGCTGGTGCTTGCCATACTGTACTGCTTCCCTAGCATCTGTAGTTCACAGTCCTGGTGTGCTTAACTTAAACTGTGGACCATTTAATAAACCAGAGTATGTACTGCAGTGACAGAGGAACCACTGGGTGTTTAACTTTGCTGCAGGGTGCTAAGCACTGGTAGATGGATCTCCAGGACAGTGGTGTCTTACACAACTTCCGGTAAACCTGAAGGATGATAATCAGAATCATTGGTCAGCTGTCTGAGATAGAGGAGTACTATCTCACTATCCCTTCATTTGAGCTTTACCCTTCAGTATAATAGGTCTTTCTTAATAAGCTTTGCTGCTGATTTTGGAAGTGCGTAAATACTTGCATGGTTAGAAAGCACAGTCAGGTGCTGTGTCTCCTGCAGACTAATGGCAATGCAATGAAAGTGCAGATAATTTAGAACTATGTGAATCTTGATCAGATTTTAGCCTGCTCACAAGAAAAGTGTGTGATGCAGTTATCCTTCACGTAATGCAGCGAGTGCCTGATGAAGCTTACGTGACTGAAATGGCATAGAATGCACAGAAGAAAATGAAACCGAAGGAAGAGAGCTGAGTGTCTGATTATGCCGCTGCACAAAGAAGCATTTCAGATGTCTGTTACAATAATAGTGCAAGCTATCATCTACAAATAAACTATGTATTACAACACCAGTTAAACAAGGGGGAGAAATACCCCGAGATCTACATTATGCTGCAGTTCTGTTTGTCCTCTACAATACTTCAGAAAAGTAAACTGCAGTTAGCGTGATGTGCAAAGACTGAATTGTTAGATTCTATAATAGACATATTGTGCTACCCAGTCCTTAGTTTTCTTCTGTTTTTCCATCTGCCTGACTGTACCCATCTGTTGTCTTCTTAAAAAATACGTATAAAAACCTAGCTATTAAATAAAGGAAATAACTCATTTGTTAATGTTTATGAAGTGCCTAGCACAATCAAATCTCAGTTCATGGCAAAGAATTTTCTTCAAGCCTTGTTATACAAGCAATAAATTTTTTCTAACAATTACCGGCAGTTTAGACAGCAACCTGATGTAATCTTCAAAGCACTGGAAGAATAATGCAGGTTTGCCACCTAATCTGAAGCACGCTGTATAAGGCGATTTGTTTTCAGAATGAATTACCCGAAACTAGAGCATTGGTTTCCAGATTTAGTGAGTATCCCACTGATAGAAGGAGATTTTGATATTTGATGTGCCATCTACTCAATTGCTATGACTTTTTAGGGTGTGAAGGCTAGCACAGGAATATGTACTCTCTGGACTTTGCAAAGGGCTGTTTTTTAAAAAAAAAAGTGGAGACAGGAATTTCTCTGATCAAATAGCCAGAAAAAATATATTCTGCAGCTGCTCTTCCTCCTCCACCACACCCATAACCCTTAAAGTGAAGGATGGAGGAGACTAGAGATACCAGTAAAGGCTATCAAAGGCATGACTGTCACTGGATGCTTATGAGAAGAATACTTAGATGTTACGAACGGAAGCATTATAGTAGTACGGTAAAGTGCATACATACAGCCATCTTAGAGGATTAATTACCCTTTATGAAAGAAATCAGCATTCCAAAACAAATAATTGCATACAGTGTTTCGGACAGGTTAAAAAAAAAAAAAAAAAGTAGATGCTTGCTAAGTCACGAGATTTGGCCGTTCCCATCCATAATTCAAATTTTGCTCTTAAAAGCCAATCGTCCTCCTCTTCAAAGATGATTTCTTCTATGAGATATCTTTCAATATCTAAGTTGTAATTTTATAACACATGCAAATTGTTACAGATGGTTATGTTCCCTAGGTAGTGCAGAAACCCGTTACAGCAGCATCCACATTAGTAAACTAACCATGCCTGGGAATATTCCTAGGCACTGAGACCCACTGGCAAAGAACAGCCAGTGTCTGTACGAGCAAACCGTCCTGGCTGCCAGACAAACTGCACATTGGGAATTGTCTCTGGACCATTATAACCACCGAGCCATGCCCACGAGTTATTCAGAGAGAGCGTCAGGGCCCGAGCAAGAGTGCTAATTAAAACAGGCCACAGTCTGGCCAGGGAATAACTGGTCAGTTGGCTAGCATAGGTGATCATGGGCCTGTGACCCAGAGTGTTCCTGAACATGCTTGAATTTCCCAGTATGGAAGTGGATGGACTGTGAATGTCAAGCTTGCCAGAGCCTTGAACTCCAAAGGCTTTGCTAGTTGAATTTAGGATGCTCCGTCCGCACGTTCAGCTGCTGCTTCTAAGAGCGTGCTCTGTTCTGTTACATTCAGCCATGCCCTACAAGTAATTCTTGTAGCTGTGAAGCAGAGGGACCTGGCCTCATACCCAAAACCCAACAGTAGATTTCTTTGCTTATCTTTGCTGATCTATACCAGCCTCTTTCACACAGGGGAACTTTGTCTCTTGCAGAGTGCTCTGTGTGCCTTCGCTCTCCCCAGTCAGCAAAATAATCAGCCATAAAAGCTGTTGTCCATAAGATGGACAGTTATGGCTGTGTCTCCCAGAAGCAAGAAAGGATGTTTCTAGACATCTCCCATCATCATTCAGTTTTATATAATGCTTTGAGTTACTGTATTCCTCATATCAGTGTGTTAGGGTCATTGTGAGTTACCTTTCTGAATAATCTTTTTGAATTACGAGGTCGAGGGAGTTGATTTCACACACCACCCCCTTAGTCAGTGCCAGGTGTTAACTCTGCTACTGTGAGTGCTTATTCATTAGCAGGTGACTTTATTTGGGCCAGTTTCCTCATTGCATCAAGTCCATTGATGCAAAGCGGTCAGGTATTAGGTGAGGTCTGCTGCAGTAACCTGTTGCAGGTAGCAATGTTGTCGAATCAGTGGGACGGGCATCTCCCTCTGGATGCCTCTGAGGCACTGCCCTTTGCTGACTGTTTAGGAAGTGTAAGTGCTTACTTTAAGAGACCTGCTTTATTAAGGAAAAGTTAGGTGTGTAAATTACGAGAAGCAGTTTCATTAACTTTGTGCTTTTAATAATCTCTTTTAAAATAAAATAATAAAAAGTCTAACCTGTGTGAGCCAGAAGTGTTAAACACACATTAGCAATATTGCATATCAAAATAACTGTGATTATAAGACTTGGACGTGAAGATTAGAAATACCAAGGGTCAACAGTCATCTTGCAAATTTATTTAAAAAACTGCAGCTGTTTTAATCTCTCTGCTGACAGGAGTGGGAATTTTATATGTATGTCACAAATAAAATTCTGCAAACATTCGTCCACCTTGATTAATGATTATACAGGGACTGGAGAGCATGAAAAAAAAAAATTCTTTCAGAACTAAGCCTTCCTAAAATTTGGCACTACTCTACCGTAGTGCAGAACAGTATACCTATTACTCAAGTGTTCATGCCTTGCATGTTGGAATGAGCTGCTTTATCATGCAGATAGAAGTGCTTCTGTGAGCTAAGGAGATTAAATATCTTTCTGAATTGTGCTTGAACTATGGTCCTCTAATAAGGCAGGGTTCACTGAATCATTCAACAGAGATCAGAATACTTTCCAGAGTAGAGAATACTTTTTTTTTAACCCAGCAACAAAAGGGAAGACACACAAATACCCCTGCCACACACTGGTAGGCTTATAAAGCCTCTCTGCAGGGACACATAATAGCTTATGTAGCCTTAGGAAGAAGAAAATGGAAAAACAAAATTAAAATACTGGAAAATAAGATTGCCCAAGCATTGCCAGAAAACTGACTAAATAAAACTGTTTAAAAACAAAACATAACCCTTTTAGGACTAGCAAATAGGATATTGTGTTTGATAGCCAAGTGGCTGAGGACTTTATTCACAGGGTCCAAATAACAAACTAGAGATTATTACAATGAGGGCAGGACTGGCCCCAAGTCCTACATAGCAGAGAAGATAGCGCTGAAGGAATTTCCTACTTAGCATGTTAACCAATAAGCCAAGCCTATGAAAAACTCGTGTTCCCATTATTGTAAATTATCACAACTAAAAATGTTCCTTAACTTCTGAGCCTCATGATTAACTTCATTCATTTTCTAGCCAACATGTGCAGAATTGTTGTTCACTTTTCCAGACTTCTGAAGAAATGAGTTATATTACAGTTACAGCTCTGTATGGTGGAAAAAAATTATCCTGATTCGAGTTATTTATTAATCATTAAAGTGAAAAGTTTGTGCCAAAAATTAAAGAATGGCTGTACAGCAGTAGCTTGTGGTTAGACTGGCAAAGCCCTGGCCAGCCATCACCTCTGAGCTTGACAGAAAGGGTTCAGAGGAGATGGGGGCACATTCCCCGTGTGTGCCGTGACCCGGCAGAGCTCAGAGCCACTGATACAGGCAGAGAGGTTTTTGCCTTTACAGTTGAACTGTTGTTCATGTAAAATTTTGCTAATTTATTGGTAAAATAATACACAAAGATCAGTCAAGTTTGATACTTGGTTGGTCAATATTTGCGCTTGAAGATGTGTGAAGTGTTTAAAATTTACCCGGTACTTTTAGTATAAAGAATTAAAATGTTTTATTAGTAGACCAGAAGAAAATTTAATATTCTCTTACGATGAATTTCCTTTTCAGTAAAACATGACTTTTCAAAGCAAAAATGGATCTCAGATTTTTAGACTTCAAAGGACTTTTTCTCCTTGTTTGTGTATAGGAAAGGAAGTTTTAGTCATTACTTTAAAGGGAAACCTAACACATCAGATATATGAACAATGAAATTTCATCTTGACTGTATGAATTCTTGGAAGTATAAGAGAGATCCTAATTCTCCTCCAAGAGTCTTCTTACTGCATGTAGATGAGTTACCCTCTGGACAAAACAAGCAGCCCAGGGTACTTTGATTGTTTTGATTGTTGTTGTTATTGATTGTTTAAAACAACGCGGGAGGAGAAAGCGAGAGACAAATCCCAATAAACTAGGAAGCATAATATCTTCTACCTCATTGTAAATTTACTTCTGACCTCAAAGACATTATTCATTGGAAGAAAGATTTCTGCAAAGTGAATATAAATATATTATTTACGAGCAAATTATGATAAGCTCTTCCTCCTCACAACTTTTTCTAGACAAAATCAGGGTTTCAGTCTACAATAAAAACATCTCCCTAGAAAATATTCAGTCTATAAAATAGATTAAAATCCTGATGCAGTCTCTTGTCTTGCTGGCTGTCTCTCACCAAGGAAAAATAACTCTGTTAGGTCAGTAGTTATTTTGCCACTTTTTCGGACAGTGTGAGCTAAGCAGCCAAGCTACAGACAGCAAAGGACACTGCAGCCAAGACAAAATGAATTGAAATTACTGTTCTACTTTCCTAATCTTTAGGTTCTGTGGCTTGCTTTAATGCTGAGAGACTCTTTTGCAAACAGCTTGTGTCAGAGGCTGTGTTCTGGTCTGTCCTGAACAGATGTGCCTTATGGAAGGGCCACGGCCAAATTAAAGGCACCTCCTGCTTCTGCAGTAGCTGTCAGAGGAACCCGAGCATGACCAGGGAGCTGCCACCACAGCACCTTTGTCACTGCTAGAGATCCCCTTCCCAGAGGCTGCTGCCAAGGTGACGCTCCGCAGCTCTGCAGGAGGTGACCCTGCAGGTCCTATCATGCCATGTCATACTGCAGCTCCGGGGTAACACCAGGAACTCAGTGAGCCATTGGGAGCTAATGAGACTGCACGCACTTTTTATGGGAGGCATGTGGGCACAGCCTTTGTGCTTCTGTCCTTTTTGGGATCTCCCAGTGTTACGTTTGTAATGCTGAGTTCCCCCAGACAACCTGAGTTATGGTTATATCAGCTTTATGTATCAAGTGCAAAATGTAGAAAGCAAGCAAATAAACGTCTTCTAGGTAAAACTTTTCTGAATAAAGCAAATTATATGATGATGTGGATTCAGATGACATCTATAATTTAACTATGTGTTAGCATTTTTAAAAAAGTATACGGAGTGCCGAAGGACATAATTGGAAAGGAAAACTAATTTTAAAGGCTGTGATGTTCTCTCAATGAAAACAGAAATAGAGGTTTTTATTTTGTTTCCTGAGTCGACACCAAGAGGAGTTTTCATCTGTGCACAATTGCTTTTATAGATCCGGAGACTCAACGGCCAGAATATGGAATCTCAATGAAAACAGCAACAGCGGTTCCACTCAGCTAGTTTTGAGGCACTGCATAAGAGAAGGAGGACACGATGTCCCCAGCAATAAGGATGTGACTTCACTGGACTGGAATGTAAGCTAACTTCGAAGACTGTGTATGGTTTTTAGCTGTCTAAATTTAATTCAGAGGCAATTACAGCTGCTGCTTCATATCTTTTATATCTGAGGTGACCAGAAGCTCTGTCCTAACCTACTGACCTCGTGTTTCAAATACTCATAATAGACTGAACTTTCCCCTATACGCTATAATTTTCCAGGACTGTTGCCATCTTCAAGCTTAATAATGATGTATTTATATCTCTATTTTAGGAACATGGGTAAAAATAAACTTAGCTGACTTTAAGAATGAAGATTAAACAAGCAATCTATTTAGTAATGAAGCCTGATTAATAATGTATTCGCATCTCATAGTTACTTTAATTTGGCATATGAGGAGATATAAGCACTAGCGAAGCTTTTTCTGAGGTTGGACTATCAAGACCCTCTCCCTCTCTCGTTTAAATTATGCTGTGTGTAGCAAAACATGCTCACGTTATCATCTTTATCTTGGTAGGAGCACATATAGTCATTCTCTCTTTACCTGCACACCTTCTGGGTGGGACTTCTTGCCTGATCGCTTTTTGACTTTTGTCCTGCAAAAGCTTCCGTCTCGCACAGAGAAGACTGAAGTGAGTGGAGAGGACAGGTTTTGTTAAGAATCCCCAGTGTCTGGGCAGTGTCTTTGGGCAGCTTTAAGGCAGCTTCACATCTCGTTTCTGCCTCCAAGCATTGTAAAAAGAACTTTCAAGACCTTGCAGGAACCTTAATTAATTTTGAGATCACTTGCATTCTGTCTGTTTTGCTGATGTTAGTACAGATAGTATATTAGTCTTGTTTTTGTAGGAAAACAGATTAAAAATTAAGTACAAGAAAGGATTTTCAGTAATTACATAGTGTCTCAGTTGCTGGCTAGAGACCAAAATCCAATTAATCTTTACTGCAGTAGTTTTGTCCTTCAGGTGAGCTAGGTGCTTCACAAAAGTAAAAGATAAGGCCACTGCACAAATCAGCTTCCCCTATGTTGTTTGCATTTGACTCAATGAAAGAAGTTGGTGAAGAGTGCATAAAGCAGAGATAGGCTAACAAAGCAAATAAAGATAAAACCTGAGAATGTTCATTACTTCGTGTTGCAGATGGAGTGATAGACTTCACTCAGAGAAGCAGCAATATATTTTATTGATGTAAGACAGTGAGTTAATAAAGTTCAAAGGTAAATGTGACAGTGGTTTAACAAGATTTAATGGCAAGGTACACTTGATTATTTACTGCACAGAGGGCAGGGTCAGACAAAACTATCAGGGAGACCCTCCCGTTGAGTCACAATGTTCAGAAAGGACCCCCTTGCTTTCTAAACTCCTCAGAGAGGAGCCTAAGTGTGGCTGGATTCAATCCTAGTCCCAGACTTGGTCAACAGTTTATGTCTAAAGGATTATATGTGCACAATCAATTTAAAATATAATCTTAGCAAAGCTTCAAAGTTTAGCCAGCTATTAGTCACTTACCAAGGATCTGTTGGAATCTCTCAGCCTTGAGGAGTAGCCTTGAGAGGCGACCCTGCTCAAGAGGGATCCCGGTGTGCAGCCCGCTGCCATATGGGAGAGCTCCAAGGGCTCTTGGGCTGCTCACTATTTATGGAGCAAGATAACTGACTTTAGTCATGTTTGCATGACTGTAGATGCTGATTTCTTCCAAATTTGTCTCTGCTCGGACACTGGCCAGCGCTGTGACCCGGTGGATGCATTACCATAAATTGACTCTTGAATTTTGTGTTGTTACCTGTCTCCCCGGAGTCCACTTTGAGCCAGACGCATCCATCACCATCACCACTGGTGGTTATTGCATGAGAACGGTTACAGGAAGAGGTCAAGTTGGGGGATGAGGAGGAAGTACACCGTCACACTTGTTTTCCATGGATATCCCAGTGAAGAAAAATAGTCAGGAAAAACTGAATTGAGGAGTAGGAAGAGAGTAGTTGAAAGGGGAAGACATGCAGAGGTGCAGAACAGCTGTGAGAAAAGTTGTCCAAAATATATAGGGCATCCTCCAGTATTTCCTGTAGTAGTTCCTTCTTTCCAGACTTCATTGATCACTGATATTTCACTTGCATTGTACTATTACTTAATGCAAGAAAATGTTCCTAGTTTAAACACTTCACATGCTTCCAACTTACTTTGAGTTTTCCGAAGAATGTGGATAAACAAATTTGTATAAACTATACATCTAGTTTCTGAGCTTTCCTTCCCTTTTCTCTTTTGCTCTTATCACCTTTGTTCTCATCAGTGGTACAGGTAAGTGTATGTCACAGTGCAGTTGGCTTAGGTTTTGATATTTTTCCCCTACATACGTTTGAGTTAAATCTACATCTGCTCTGACTCACTGTTTTTTGAGGGATGGAGTGGTCATATGTTTTAAAGGATTACTTTGTGCTTTTTCCTAATTTTCTATTTGTGATGCTAGAAATGCCATCTACCTTTATTGTTTATTTAGAACCACAACATTAATGTTATTTCACTGTGAAATTTTCACATTGGTCATATTAAATTGATTCTTCTCTAGTTTATATGATTTATATTATAATAAGAAAGGTTATTTCTAGAAGCCATATTCAGATCCTGTCCTTTGGTACCAAGGATAGGATTCATCTCCCTTAGGTTTAACCTAAACTGGTCACCTAGACTCCCTCCAAGTCAGCAGAAACAGAGACACATGCCTTCGTGCTGGTCTGGGCAGAGTCTAAAGCAGATAGAGTCATGAATTAACACTGCAGAGGTGGGTGATGCTGTTAGGTGTAGAGGGAGACCAGGTGTAACTCCTAACTTCTGGACATCTGGAGATAAATGGGGTGAGTCTCACTCCTAATTCAGGTGCTGATATATGTAAAGACTAAATGCTCAGCTCCAACAGTACCTGTCTCACCAGGCTCCAGAATCAAGTTCCTTTTTAATTATTCTCATTCTGGGTCAATAACTCTAGCATCGTTGGCTGCACAGGAGGTTACCTTCAGCAAAATGCTCCCTCTAGCAAAATACCTGAAATTTGCTGATTATGATTCCTGTGCTTTCTTTCTCCTAATTGGGACCCATGAATCCAACTTTTCTCAGGCTGTCCATCATGGTACTGTGCCTCTGAGCATATGTGGTGTTTAGAGAAGTAGTAGGAGCTTCTTTGTGGTAGACACCATCTGAGGTGTTGATGGTGAATGTAGGTGTCTGAGGTGTTTAGATCCTTCTTTCAAGTATATGTGCCTAAATTTCACTGAACTAGGATTTAGTTAGGATTTAGATGATCTGTTGATGTTTTAGAGGCTCTTTATGTCCAAGAAGTAGTATCTGTTATCTGGAAGAATCTCGTAGAATTTGTTACATCTTGTTTTCTTTTTCTAATCCTTTTGATTAGATTACTCTTATTTGATGGTGTAGCTTATTTCCTCTTTGTTGACTGCAGTAATAACCTTTAGTTTAAATCGTAGTATGATCTGTCTCAATGTGTGGACTCAGATTTCCAATAAATCACAGTGCACAGACCTTAAAAAGAAAAGAAAAATGTTCATTGAAACAGGTTATATCTAGTGTTGACCTTTGCCATTTATATATATCCCAACAGAGTGATGGAACACTATTGGCTACAGGCTCGTATGATGGTTTTGCAAGAATATGGACAGAAGATGGTAAGTCAAACAACATTTATTGTTCTTAAGCATTGACAGCAGTGAACTGTAATTTGGCCAATTTGTAAACAAATTGTAATATTGACCTTTTCTTTATTCCAGGTAACCTTTCAAGCACCTTAGGTCAACATAAAGGTCCAATATTTGCCCTGAAGTGGAACAAAAAGGGGAATTATATTTTAAGTGCTGGTGTTGATAAAGTGAGTTTTAAAAATATATCATTTTAACGTATAAATGTGCTGAATCAGTGAACTTGTGCTGCTGAATTCTGTAAGATTATTTTCTTCTCCTCCAGGCATCCTGGAGAGTTTACTTTTTAATATGTTTTAGTGTGCCTTGAATAAATGTGTACTACTTTTATGTAAAAGATTTTGCTTAAAAAAAACAACTCCACTTTACCCTCTGTGTAACATTGCATCTTAAATGTTTCTCAGTTAAGGAAAGAACTGCTTCCACTACTTATGTTTATAGTTTTATCAACTAACTATTTCCAGGAAGGAAGTCATCTTAAAGATACTTGACCTTTCAGCTCATCTAATTATTGAAACACTTGTATTTGAATAAAACATACATATAGCTTCCTGTGCAAACATGCAAAAAAAATGATAGTTCTGAACTGAAAATTGAGAAAACATGGTAGTTTCAGCTGAGTGCATATTAGAGATTAAAATGAACCGATGACTGATGATGAGCACAAATCCATTAAAACTGAAACTGGAAAGCATAGAGCATTCATCTTGCCTAACTTTTGATGTTTGAAAATTAGATATGTGTGTCATCCTTGGCTTCCTTTATAAAATATGGACAGAAAAACAGCATTTCCAAGTGATGTGTTGCATGACCTGTATTGCAGTGAGATGCACTGACAGTGCTTCTCTCCAGCCACTGATAGAGGGAGCCTAGGGAAGCTAGCTAAGGCTTGCACATCTGATTTGTAGGCTGGATGAATCCCTACGTTTTCACATACTTGTGAAAATGGAAGCTTAATCCTTTTAATACTACCTCATATCCAGCAACACTTGTCTCCCAATGGTAGTTCCGTTATTCTGGCAAACTTTACCTTCCCAATAACAGCAGTGATTCTTTAAGATGATGTATTATCAGCAAGATGAGGCATCCTTAAATTTCCTAGAACTATTTTCTCCCAATAAATTGACAATTCACTCAGAAGGTGGTATTGAGCTCTACAGGGGAGTTGCTTACATGTGCTATGAGTATGGATTAAACCTGTAGTAAGCAAATTACTCTTTAGTCTGTCCCACCACAGTGGCAAGAAGTGATATGTACTCTGCTGCTAGATAAACAGTTCACATGGAGGTTTAATTGTTAGAAATGGGGTATCATGTAGTTTTGTAACGGAAGTCAACTTGCATCTTTGAAATGGGGAAAAAGTCGTCTTTGAGGAAGATAACTGAAAAGCTTTAACAAAATGTGTATTAAAAATTTGTAGTGCTGTCTTCTAGAATTATTCAGAGAGAGTATGTCCATTCTTAGTAGTTATATTACTTCATCTGTAGGGACGATACTTCTTTATCTACACTTAGATTATTATTCTGTAATATTTGGAAGTTATTTCTGATTTTTCAGCTGTCCAGCACACAAGGCTCTCTGCAGTCAATAATTTTATCAGTCCATCTTTTAGAATTGCTCCTCAGCAAGGGCTCTGTCATTTGTTTTCTATGAGCCGAACAGTCACTAATCTTTTTTTTTCCCCCCTTCCTTCGGATGCAGACAACAATAATTTGGGATGCTCACACAGGAGAAGCTAAACAGCAGTTTCCTTTCCATTCAGGTAATTTCTGCATAACTCTTCTTAGTAAAACAAAATACAGTTTTTAATTTTGTTGATCTGATTTATCCTTTTGTAAAAACCTATTGCCATAAATAAGTAAATTTTGAACCAAGGTGGTTTTGCTTTAACTGTCCAGTGTATCATAGCTTGTGGGTTTATTATTTTTTCTGAAGGATGGGCTTCTGTGACAATCAGCTTTGAAAGTCAAGCTGACTCTAGGAAAGGATTTGTACACCAGACGTGTACCTAGCAGAATGATTCTGTCATTATCTATGTGCTTGAATAGTACCATGGTTAAAATGATGGGTTATGAAGAGACTTTTCTATGGAGATGTTTAGGTTCTCTTCCATTCTTTCTGCTCCTGTAGCAATGAAGCTGACTTCAGACAGCAGCTGATGTGGATCTCTCAGCAGCTTGCATTCACCGCTGCAAGCATGAAGGTCCTCAGGAATTTCTTAGCTTTTAATTTTGACTTGAAGTTCTTCAGTATTTGCTTTCTCTGGTTATCAGAAGTCAATTGCCAACCTTGAGTTTCAAAACCTCAGTGCACCAAAATCTTTACTTGGGTGGTCGTTTGTAGATCTGTTCTGCTTCAAGAAGACAGGAGATGTCACAGATACTAAGTAATCTTGAGTAACAGGCAATCATTGGCGTAATCTTAAATACACTTGAGACCAGACTTGTAAAATGATGGCTGAATTCGTGATCCAAATTGTCTAAGTTGTCACAGTGAAGAACTTTTAAAGGGCATAGTCAAACTGAGTTTAAAACCACCAAAACATTCCAGATTTTGGTGCTAGAATGTTCATCTTCCTGTGTGTTCACTGTAACTAATCCATTTTTAAATAGGGCCGGCTTTCACAAGTTACTTAGTGGTGTTTAAAACCACATATTTTACTACTGATTTTAAAACATTAATTTGTGCATACTTTTCAATTCTCACATTTTCACAGATGTTATTAATATGGAATAGCAATGGAAACGGTTATTCAACAGAAGACAAAAAGTATGTCCATGCACACAGCAGATCCATACTCTGCATTTTGTCAGTCATCTTCTTACTTATTAATGCAGCTCTCAGTTTAGAGGAGTCAGTGTCTGCTGACAGGTTTTCTCACTGTGGCATTTATTTACCTATCATAACTGTTCCATAAAAGCAAACTTCGAGCTGTGTAGTTATGTAGTTAATGAGACTCTTAAGCCTTCTGATCTCTAACTATTGATCTAGGTAGTTGCAAATTCAGAACTTAGTTGCCCCTTCAGAATCATGTTCACTGATGTGTAGCTGTCTTAACAGTGATGCGCATCAAGGACATATCACTCCATTCCCCTTTTAGCAAGTTCAAAACTCAGCTACATCTTCCAGTGCAATATGCCAATGTCTATCTGCATTAATAGATTTTTTTAAAAACTTCTTACTACTCATGTTGTTTGTCTTTGAACCATAAGACACAGCTGACGTGGAGAGGCTAATTTTTTTTTTCATTATTTCAAATATGTTTTCATAGGGAAGTAAAGCAGTTAGTTATTAAGAAAATTGTTGATACACCAAAAGCATGTTGTGTCCTACAAAAAGCCCTTTAAAATCGGCTGGAGTCTTTATCCTCACAGAAATCTAAAGCCACAAAGACCTCACCTTGTCCTCCTTGCATCACTTATTCACCGGAACAAACTAACAGCAAATTCCTTACCATATTTGGAATCTGAAAACCTTGTCTACACCAGGATTAAAGGTGGCGTTTTAACGATTAGAAGTCTGGTCTAGACACAGTTCCTTTAACATGTACTTGAGTGGTGTACTTCTTTGCGTACTTCTTTGAAGTCTGGAGATAGTTGGCCTGGGAATAACATAAATTTTTTACTCTCAGCTGCTTTACAACAACTTATTTAGTTTACACCTATATAGACAAAACTGTCATCTTAAAATACGTAAGGAAGATTCCTTTGTCTAGGTCTTGAAGGCCTCTATGTCATTGATGTTCTCATTTAACTTTAAGGTTTTATGGTCCAAAGATGTTAAGTATGTGGATAAGTAGCTTCTAGGGTTTCGTTATTCTTTACAAAACTATGAGTCATCATATGGCATTCGATCAAAATATTTATTCACAAAGCTTATGTCTTTAAAATGGAGAGAAATAATCCGATTTTCACATCTACTGGTAGATGTGGACTGATGTCTCTGCATGCAGGAACAAATTGGTTAAGTGATACTGTAAGAGGTATTAGTATGACCCAGTTTTAGACATCTAAGTGCTCTGAATCATTCCCTGCAGACACTTAACTGTTCTCTTCTGAGCTTCTAATTCTGAATCACACCTAAATTTATTCAGAAAAATCTTAAATTAACTGATAGTTATTGTAATACTTTTATTATTGGGATTTATTTTAGCTGCATTTCTTAAGAGCTTGTTGCTGCTTTTATTAGGTGACATTCTGATTGTTTTTATGCAATTGGCTAGTATCCTGTGGTTTTGGCGACCCTTCAGCGATTCGATTACTTGCATCAAAAACTGCGTTTGGTTGTTTTTTCCAGGCCATTTTATGTAGTTACTCATCCAGTAAACATATGATTAAATACACCAATAAATGAATCAGTATTAATTATCAACACTCTGTGAATCAAATTATGCTGCAATGCAAATCCATCGCTTTAGGTGCCAATAGCTCTGAGAAAATTACTTTTCAACCCGTACATGTCATACTAGATATTAGCCCTGAAGGCATATTGCTGTTAATGAAGATAGATTTTTGTTTGCTCAGAAACAGTAATACAAAGCTTGCAGCATAGAAAGAAAGACAAACAGGCAGTTTCTGGATCTTCATTCATGTTCATTGAAAAACTCAGAAGTAACCTGCCTTCTTCATAGAAATTTCCTTTCTATTTCTACAATGTAGAAATTTTTTACCTGTCACACAGAATTATTGAGCTTTTTCATTAATATTCTCAAAAACATTGGTATCTGAAACAATTTCAGCCCTCAGTTCTCATTTAGAGAGCTACCTGATGATTCAGGTGGTGCGGTTCAATCTCATTTTGCAGCTCATAAAAATCATAACAGAAAAAACATATTTAAGTATCATAGGCTTGGTAGAACAGATATCTTTTCACCGCTGTGTTACGAAAGTATTTCTCTGAATGTATTTGATAAGGCATTTTTTGGTTTCATTTTAATGCTGAACTTGCATTGTGTTGTTGCCAGAAAGAGATTCAACTCTGCCTCCTGTATGCTGATCTCCTTCTGACACACTTGCTTCTCACAGGAGTGTGCTGAGAATGAAGATTGCTGTATTTTAGCCAGTCTTATGTCGTCCTCTGGAGGGCAGCTAAACTCTATCCTGAGAAAAAAAAACAAATGGCAGTCATAGAAACAGAGTCAAGCTGGATGTCAGGAGTTCCCTCCTACTCTTGCGCATGCTTTTCATCTGCAGTGATATGCTCTAAAAGGGGGGATTTGGGGTTTTTTTTTTCATGCTTTTTGCAAAGCATGTGCATTACACACAGGCAATAGTTAGATGTTCGTGTGCTCTCTGTGGACAAGGTTTCATTACTTCAGTCCTAGTTAATGCCAAACCCCTCTACAGAAACTCTTCCTTTCATTTCAGACCAGCTTGATCAATGTCTCTTATCGTAAATCAATCCCCAACCAAATTAAACTGAATGTAGGTATTACCGAACCACGTGTCTGCACAGAGCCATAGGTTTGTCTTGACGGTTGCATAAAGCTGTGCAAAGGAAGATGGCCACTTGCTGCTTCTCCCTCCCGTGTGTGGCATTCACAGGAACATTTTTTCTAACCCAGCTGCAAGTATTCATGTTTTTTCTGGATTAGTTTTCTTCCAGGTTCTCTGCTGAGCTGGCATACAGGGGAACGAATGGTAGAGATGGCACAAGAGAAGTGTCCAGCTGGGAGCAAGGAGGGTGGAGGCAAATTGTTTTGCCCCCTCTTGTGTAACTTTACCCAAAAGATTCTTATAAACAGGTGCTATGCAAAGCATCAAGATTACCCACTGCAAGATCAAAAATAATTTGCGCCCTTTGGGCTGTCCCCATCTTTCCTGTAACTGGTTGCAGGTGACAGGCCAAGAACTAGTTTTTAGTGCCTTTGATCTAGAAGGGTGACAGGAAGAAAATTATTTGGGATAACTTTCTTTGCTGTGTTCCCTGATGTTCCTTCCATTGTTTGTACTTCACAGCTCCTGCTCTGGATGTAGACTGGCAGAACAACACTACTTTTGCCTCCTGCAGCACTGACATGTGCATTCATGTATGCAGACTTGGCTGTGATCGTCCCGTTAAAACCTTTCAAGGACACACAGTAAGTTTAAAAAGTCCGAAATGTTAGTGATTAAGTTACAGCAGCATGTTAACGATGATGGCAGATGATGTGTTTGCAGGGTGTGTTCTGGCACCAAAAGTGTTACATTGCATTGCTTCCCTAAAACTGTATTCCTCAGGAGTGACTCATTCCCTGTGAGAGGGGATAAACTGTTCTCTGTCACCGCAGGGGGCAAAACCTGCAGCTTAAACAGTGAAACTATTTATATTTAGCATGAGCTGCAGACTAAGGGCACATTAATAAATAAGATTTTTTTTCCGCTCGCTTAATTTCCTTTAATAAATTAAAACTATGAATAAGGAGAGAACAATTTACTTCCAGCCATTGTTCAGTTTTAGAATCAATTTCATCTAGTAAGATCTATTTAAGATGTATTTCCCTCTTTTTTTCCTGGTGGTACTTAATGACTGTCAAAGGCTGGTTTGTCTAGCTTTCATTCATGAGAAAACTGCTGTCGTATACTGACCTATAATTTAGGTATTAACTTCCAGAAACTTACTGTCTCCCCACTGGGGAAAAACTGTATATTTGGAGACCTTCAGCTAGTCTGTGGTTAAACTGATATTTCATGATAGGTTGTACGTTCCTACCAACAGACTGGTGCTTTTTATGATTCTATGAAATGCTCTATTTTGCACACGATCCAAATCTTTACTTCAAATGCTTGTACAGTTCCTTTTAATTATGACTGAAACATGTGAAATGGATAAAGCAAGACTTATTTTCGGGATTATTTTCACTGAGACCTTGAGCCAATTTATTTTTAAAAAAACAATGCTTTTTCCCCCATATGTACGACCCTCAAAAAACCAAAGAAAACTTACTCATTATCAAGGGGATGGACTAGGCTTAGTTAGTTACAAAGTACTAGAGTGACAGAGAAAGCATCTTAAACTATTCAGTATTCCATGGTGGATTTCATTTGCACATATACACCTCTGTTTAGGGAGACCAGCATTGTTGTAGAGCTGCAATGCTAAGAATAATAAACTCCACAAAGCTTTACATCCCACTAGTATTTTCCATTGAAAATTTGTATCTCCGAGATGTACAGAATAGTAACTGAAGAAATATCGCTAAAAAAATAAATTAACGCTATATCATCAATCTGTCTGGTTCGAGGGTTTGTTTGAATCCTAGCATATGAAGAAAGAGTACGACTTTGTGCCAGAACACGTGTCAGAAGACTGATTGTGTGTATTGTTCACAAACACAAAATGGTTACCGTTCCTAAATGACACTTAAATAACACTGCTGTTGTTCACCCATAAAGCAACCGGGGCTGTCATTTGTGGTTGAACTTCTTGTGTGTGCGTAAACCTTGAGTGCCCTCTGCTGGGTGCCCAGTACAGTGCAGGTAGCTGGAATATTTACTTAAAATCACTCTTTTATTCCAGAACGAGGTTAATGCAATCAAATGGGACCCATCTGGCATGCTACTAGCATCTTGCTCCGATGATA